CGTATGGTATGGCTGGTCACGACCACAGGTTGAACTATAGTGCGAAAATCCGTGCAACCGAGGGTCGCCCAGGTTACGAAACAGCCTGCACCCGTGTTGACCACACGGGCACATCACATTTAAATCGTTCACACGACCTTCGTTTACAGTATCATTGTCATTTTTTGAGTCATTGGTTGTATCTCAAAACCCGTTGGCAATGCTAATCACAATTAAATCAGGTCAATTTAAATCGTTCACGCGACCTTCGTTTACACGGCATGTGGCTTGAATAGTAGCAGTAACACTCACCATTACTTAGTTTGTAAAGTTCTGCTACAGTAAATGGTCAGTTATCTGGTAAGCTGTCCTTTGGTGAGATTCAAAATCCGCTTTAACAAATAAGGGAGTACCACAAAGAGAAAAACGCGTCGTGTTCTTCCCCAACTTCATTTCCGGTAGAGAACGGATATGGGTAGTATACTAAATATAGTCATGGATCAACCTGACGTGAACAACTCACAACCGACACACGCAACGTGTAATTTAATTTGTAAGTTTGCTCTGATGTAAATCAAAAGGAAAGGAATTTAACGTTTCGCCAACACAATATTGGAATTAGTTTAAAATATATGATTGCTGTAATGTCTGAGTTGATATGATTGCTGCATTACCTGGGTTGATTCCACATTTAATTACAGGTATCCAGGTAGCAGCAAGTAATACCCGAGTCAATTTCCCCATTCTCGGTACCCCATGTTTTCATTCTGTTCTACTCCACTATACCCTGGGTTAATCCATAGGGTTTCCACGGTTTCAAATTATCTGACCTGCCCTTGATTGTAGCTAAGGTCTACGAACCAATCAAAAAAAGAATTTACATTAGATAACCACATTTATGTCCATTTACTGAATGATTTATATAAATGATGTATATATTTCTAATTCATGCATATTTAATTGTATTATCAAAATCTGTAGTATGTTTCGCTGATTTCAAATATGTATAACATTTATATGTTCGACTTTTGTTATTGTTATTACTATCTGAAATATTTCATTCCGTTATGTTTATTATTATTGAACTTATACTTGGCGATTTGATTAACACTAACATTTCTACTATATCACCTGGACGTAAAACTCCAGGAACGAAGGGACGATTCTCAATTAAACTCTCAATATAAACGTCCGGACTTCATTAATATATTTTATCACCCAATAATACATTCTACAGTAGATATCGCTTGTGTGATATATTTCATAATGTACTGCGATATCTCCTTAGGAGATATCGCTTTACATGAATTTGATTGGTCAGTTGAAAAGGAACTACTTTTTTTTTATTTTCAAAGAACAGTTCATTTCTTATTAAAAGCAACTTTTTTTTTTATTAAAAATGAACTATTGTTATTCAATTGACCTTGATGGAAAAATTGGGTCAATATAAAGGACTTTGCAATGGTTGAATTGCTGTCAAAAAATGATGTATCACTACGCCGTAATGTTCAGTAAAAGTGAAATCTACAGCAAAGAATTATATTTATCTATTTGTGCATGTAAGAAGGGATTGGGTGATAAATAAAATCTCCTACTCGTCTACTCCTACTCAACTTGTGTTGATATTTTTTGATATCAAAAAAGACTGGTAGGAGATTCTCTATATATAATATGTTGTTAATAAATACGCATTCCTAACCTTGTCCGATGAGAGTTACTTCCCTTTGCCAACTTCTTTTACAATCAATGATTTATGGATTTGGTCGATGAAAATATACTATCATCCAGGGCAGATAAATTGAAAAAGTGCCCCCCCCCCTAGATTAATCCTGGGAAGAGAGAGAGAGAGAAATGGGGTCTAACTTCCACTCGACACAGACTAGGTCATTTCGGGACTAACATATGGTTTTAATTTTATTTCAATAATTCGCTTGCGCATAGGGGTCTTTAGCAGTGGGAGGAAACCGGAGGACCCGGAGAAAACCCATGAGGTTGGACAGGCGACCCTACTCCTTGTCACGTACAACCGGGGATTCGAAACCACGCCAGTCGACTCAATGACAGACTTTATGATAGAACGCGCGCACGCTAACCATTCAGCCATCCAACCCCCCTGGGGTTAGTGGAGTAGAACGGAATGAAACTACCGGGTATACCGATTTTTATTTGAATTCCAGCTGGCTTTTCTTTTACGTACATGACCAGTTCTACAGGGGTGGGTGGGTAAGACGCTGGCTCGCTAGCCTGGAGGTCGGGTGTTCAATCCCTGCATTGGCCAAGAAAGTTCATCCAGATTTTTCGGCGTGGTTTCCCCTTGTCAGTGATGCAGGATGGAGGGCCTGACAAGGACAGCTGTCTAGTCGTTCGGATGGGACGAAAAACCGAGGTCCCGTGTATATATTGGAATGCTCGTAAAAGATCCCCTGGCAGTTGGAATTCGATATAAGAGTAGGCCATAGCGCCGCTGCCTGGGCAAAATTTCCCTCATAGCACACTGTATGGCGTATGCCCGTCTTCATTAGCCCAGGTTATAGGAGCAGAACAAGACAACATACTAACCCGGTGATTAGAGAAAATAGACCATGTATTTTAATGCATGTAGTGTATTAAAAATAACAAGAAACCCTGTGTTGATTAAACAAGAGGTTGCCATGCAAAATACACCAAGAGATGGACAGAGAACAAGCTAAAAAGAATAATGTGATTTTTTGTACAATCAGGGGCCATAATCCAGGAAGTTGCGGTCCAATATGCGCGAATATCGAAAGGAACCGAGATCTTTGGTTTATAAACATACATTTCAAGTTTCATTAAAATCGGATACTATTTTCAATCTTTTGGCGATAAACCTTTGTTCCAAGTCATTGAGTCAGCTGGTGTGGTTTCGATTCCCCAGTTGTACATGACAAGGAGTAGGGTCGCCTGTTCAACCCCATGGGATTTCTCCGGGTCCTCCGGTTTCCTCCCACTAATAACACTAATAAACACCCCTACGCACAAGCCAATTATTGAAATAAAATTGAACCATGTTAATACCGAAATGACCTAGTTTGTGTCAAGTGGACTTAAACTCCATTTCTCTCTCCGTCTCTCTCTCTCTCTCTCTCTCTCTCTCTCCCCACCAAACCATTCAACCTGACGAAGAGCGAGTCATGGATCACATGGTGGCGACACCAAACGACATCATAATGATGGTTGCTAGGTAGAAATGAAATGGGGTTTAACGTCCTACTGTTTTGCTAGGTAGAAGTATCAAAATTCTAAATTTGTTTGCCATTCATGATTAACATCTAAAGCGACAATGAAGTAGACATTTTTCGCCTTAAAAATAGAAATAAGATGAAACAGAATTAAAATGTACACTGAACAAATAAAGAAGTTGGATTATACATTGTCTTAATTTAGAAATTACATGAATGGAAGTTAGAAATTACACGAGTAGAAGTAAGATATTAGCAGGGCTGGGGCCATTACATTGACAATGTAATTAATTACATTACCATTACCATTACTTTTTTAAAGTAATCATTACAATTACTTTCTCATATTTAGCATTGTAATTAATTACCATTACCCATTACATTGAAAGTAATTAATTACCATTACCCATTACTTTATGGGTATATAGATAAAAAAACATTTTTCATAGAAATTAAAAAGACATCCTTATTTTTCTGCAATGAAGCTCCTACAAAATCAAACTCTAATAATTCTTGATTCACATTAATAGATATTTGTGTATCAATTGTTACTTCTATATATTATAACATCAAGGCAAATTTTCAAGTGACAGACAGTGGTGACAACTACTGATGTTTTCACTGTATGACTTGAAATAATGAATTGAAAGTATAGTTAACTAATTTTTTTTTTTCAAGTAATTTTATAAAATTCTCAATCAATCCAAATAGTTTTTCTATAATAATTGTATTTCTGATGAATTATTCAGCCTTACTCTAAAACAAAATATATATTTGTTCTATATTAAGTAACCATAAGATGATGAGATTTTGAAGGCCATTGTTTGGTATGTCACTTGTTACCTTGAGATTAAGATTAAAGTGTTGTAAGACTATTGTCTTTTAATCTAACTGATTGATTGATTGACTGAATGATTGCCTGCAAATTAGCACTAATCTTTGATTACAATATACATCTATTCAGAAAACCACTTTTTAGGTTACATGTTTAAAAAAGTGTCTTACATGTACATAAAAAAATTATAAAAGAAAATGTTTAATGCCTTCTTTTTCTTATTATAATTTGTTTACACTGATCTAAAATTATAATGAATTGGATTTGTCAGATACATTTAATTTACTTCTTTGATGCTAAACAATTTGAGGCTAGTTATATTGGAAATATTTATATGTGCCATAAAATGTAATTGAAATGTAATTGACCATATCATATTAGAAGATAGCATGTTAGAATTTTGAATCTAATATACCGCCATAGTATTGAGGGAGGCACGGTGGGTAAGATGAGGCGTAGAAGTTTTATAAAAGGTGGAAAAATATCACTTTGTTTACGTGTGATTGGGAAGAAGGATGAAAGGAAATGAAATGAAATGAAATGGGGTTTAACGTCCTACTGTTCTGCTCCGAACTGAGCTAATGAAGACGGGCATACGCCATACAGTGTGCTATGAGGGAAATTTTGCCCGAGTAGCAGCGCTACGGACTTCTCTTATATCGAATTCCAACTGCCAAGGGATCTTTTACGTGCACGCCAATATGTACACAGGACCTCAGTTTTTCGTCCTATCCGAACGACTAGACAGCTGTCTTTGTCAGGCCCTCCGAAGGATGAAAGGGGGTTGGGATGATCTTTGATATAATGTCACATGATTACTGTCAGAACTACATCTGACATGCAGGATTATAGATGCCAATAAAATTTTAGACATAATTTAATGATTTGTATCGTTATCGACATTTAATAACTCATAATATATATTACTCTGTCAATATCTGATATTGGACCACCATTACAATTTACGTTTGATAGTAGGAGTTGTACATTATTAAAATATTGTAAGGTACAAAAATTTAGCAGAACTTCTCGTTTGTATTTATTATAATATAACAAAGATTTAGATCAATATAGAATGTTTATTTAAATAAATTTTGATACTATTATGTTCACCAGATCGTCACCAAGAGAAGATAAGTATAAGTATAATATGGTTATGCATTATTAGTATTATTCACCAGCGTGATTTCTCATGTGTCTCTGCAGGTTTCCACCATGTGTGAATGATTTACCACAAACATCACATTTATATGGTTTTTCACCGGAATGAGTTTTGATGTGTGTCTGTAGGGTTCCAGACTGAGTGAATGATTTACTACAAACATCACATTTATAAGGTTTTTCACCTGTATGAGTTCTGATGTGTTTCTGTAGAGTTCCACTATAAGAGAATGATTTACTACAAACATCACAATTAAAAGGTTTTTCACCTGTATGAATTCTCATGTGTGACTGTAGACTACTACCAGCAGTAAATGATTTACCACAAACATCACATTTATAAGGTTTTGCACCAGTATGAGTTCTGATATGTTTCTGTAGAGTTCCACTAGTAGAGAATAATTTACTACACACATCACATTTATAACTTTTTTCACCTGTATGAACTCTGATGTGTATCTGTAGATGGCTTCTATCAGTAAATGATTTACTACAAACATCACATCTATAAGGTTTTTCACCTGTATGACTTCTCATATGTAACTGTAAGCTTCTACCTCGTGTGAATGATTTACCACAAACATCACATTTATAAGGTTTTGCACCAGTATGAGTTCTGATATGTTTCTGTAGAGTTCCACTAGTAGAGAATAATTTACTACACACATCACATTTATAACTTTTTTCACCTGTATGAACTCTGATGTGTATCTGTAGATGGCTTCTATCAGTAAATGATTTACTACAAACATCACATCTATAAGGTTTTTCACCTGTATGACTTCTCATATGTAACTGTAAGCTTCTACCTCGTGTGAATGATTTACCACAAACATCACATTTATAAGGTTTTTCTTTCGTTTGCCCCGCTTCACTAACGTGTATTTCACAGTGTTTTTCTAACTCTGTTTCTAATTTAAATTCTTCATCACACAAATTACACTGATAAACAGTTTCAATATCATCAGTTTTCTCTTCTTTAACATGACAATATTCATCAACATCTTCAGTTTTCTCTTCTTTAACATGACAATATTCATCTACATCATCAGTTTTCTCTTCTTCTTCTTTAACATGACAATATTCATCTATATCATCAGTTTTCTCTTCTTTAACATGACAATATTCATCAACATCATCAGTTTTCTCTTCTTTAACATGACAATATTCATCTACATCATCAGTTTTCTCTTCTTTAACATGTATTTTGGAATGGTTTTCTAAATCATCATATTGTTGAAAAATATCATCACATATAACACACTGATGGAAAGTTTTAACATCATTGGTTTCCTGTAATATATCAAATGAAATGAGGTTTAACGTCCTACTATTATACTCTCACTAGGCATATGCCATATGCTAATTCCTAACATCAACTATATAACAACTCTTCCAGATCCTAGTGTTGTGAAGACAAGTAAAAGGAAATTTGAGCTTTACAAAAACAAAACGAAATAGGATCTGTGTTTTAAAGAGACTGTATTTATATGTGTGTGCAGGTAAGGGTCAGGGTCCCTTCCAGTACCGCCGAGTAATATTGGGCTGTGTGGAGTAGGCTATGCTAGGGTCAATTTGTAGCATATCTGACCCACGGTATATGTTGACACTGGTGGAGCATTATGATTATGCTCATCACACTAAATTATACTGATGAAGAAAACTTTCTGTGTCCCTAATATTCAACAATGTCTTGTGGACGACTTTACCAACATATTTCTATACCCTGACTAGGCGCGACTTTATCCTGTCAAGGAGGAACCACCCTCAAAAATCCTAATGAACAATTGATTGAAATGTTTTATAAAATAAAGTTTTTTTGCAATAAATTAGTATAGAGTGAAGCTCTAAAGCATCGTGCGAAGTGCGGTGCTTGAGCAAAGCTCTTTTCTGGTAACACAGGAGCGTAACTAAATCTGCCCCACAGATTAAAAACTTACCAAATCTCACCCAAGCGAGATTACGCGACTCATAGAAATATTTTTATGACGCGTTTAATCAATGACGTCATATATTTCTGACGTCAATAAAAGATAATTCTCACACTTTTTTGTTCTTTTTTTTTTTTTTTAAAAATAAAATTAATCATACAATTTAGATTTAAATTAAATTCAATTCGGAAAAACAAGATTATTTAACATTACTTGTATCGGATGTCAGCTTGTTTGTAACCTGGCTGTTTCGTACTTAGTTCATTCGTACCTCACATGATCCGTTTCGTACTTCACTTCGTACCTCAAATTGATTTGTACCTTTTCCTGTGTTGTTGAAATCAGTTAAAAAAAATTGAAATAAAGGTGAAACTATTTGATCAAATCCAACGTCAATAATCACAAATCACAATCATAACTCAGCAGAATGGGTTCAATAATCAACACCAGATTAAATACTTTTTCAATCGTTTTTTTTTTAACTGTTTTAACAATCACCAATCAATTGTCGCCAATAATCACAACTCACTGAGCAGAATGGGTCGATAATCAACACCAGATTAAAAAAAACAAAAGGCAGGTAATCGTTTATTATTTCAATTTCTTTCAACAACATATAGATTTATTTTAATTTCTTTTATTTTATTTCAACAACATGTGGAAAAGGTACGAATCAATTTGAGGTACAAATCACGTGTGCATTCTAATTCTCGTTCGGCAGCCATTTCTATAAATTTATTTTAGCCCAGCTGTTTGATTTAGGAAAAGGAATCAATTTAAGGTACAAATCTCGTGCATATTCTAATTCTGGTTCGGCATATTCAATTTGTTTCAAATGATTTCAACAACATAGGAAAAGGTACGAATCAATTTGAGATACAAAGTGAGGTACGAATGAACTAAGTACGAAACAGCCTTGCATCACTTGAAAAACTTATGAAGGTTTTATATTTAACAACAATCACATCAGCTTCGCTCGGGCAATGCCTGTTACATTTTCTAGCCGTTTTGACCGAAGCGAATTTTTGCCATTATAGTTTGGGGGCCTTGTAGACCACATCCCATCTAAATTAGGTCAATTTAAATCATTCCACTTCCGACGATTTCGTTACACGGCAATGCACCTTGAATAGTAACAGTAATACTCGCCATTATTTAGTTTGTAAAGTTCTGCTACAGTAAATGGTCGGTTGTCTGGTAGCTGTTCTTTGTTGTGGTTCAAAATCTGTTTCTTTGTTCTTTCCAAGTTCATTTCCGGTTGAGAACGGATACGGGTTGTATAATAAATATGGCCATGGATCTGTCTAACCCGAACAACTCACAAACGTCAAACGAAACCGTAATTCAATTTGTAATTTTCGTCAGATGTAAATCAAAAGGAAAGGAATTTAACGTCTCACCAACACAATATTGCAATTACTTAAAATATATGATTGCTGTAATGGCCGAGTGGATATAATTGCTGAAATACCTGGGTTGATTCCACATTTAATTACAGGTGTCTGTTTCTCATACGGTACAATTATTTGAATTCCAGCTGTCTTTTCTTCTATGTACATGAGTCTTTCAAAGCTACAGGACAATCTCGGTCTATTTGGTCTATTTGCTAAAAAGAAATATCAACAGTCTTGTGCTTTCTCATGTGCTTCTGTAAGCTTCCATCCTGTGTGAATTAGTGATAGTACAATAATCAGTTCCAGTATCAGTAATTGGCCAATTAAGTGGCCTATCGGTAGAAATCGGCATTGGTCAAAGGTCGTCCATTTTGCTGGATACTGTTTAAAATATCAATCGAGTTGTGAACAAATCATTACTTTGCTTGACAATCGGTACTTTTATTTTAGTTGCCGTGTGCGAGTCTATTTAGACATAATACAAGACGAAATGAAATGAAATGGGGTTTAACGTCCTACTGTTCTGCTCCAAATGGGTTAATGAAGACGGCGGGCATAAGCCTGGGCAATGACACTATGTCTTACTTTTAAATCGAATTCCAACTGCCAAGGGATCTTTTATGTGCACGCCAATGTATACACAGGGCCTCGGTTTTTTTTTATACCATCCGAACGACTGAACAGCTGTCCTTGTCAGGCCCTCCGTCCATCACTAGTGACCAGGGGAAACCACGTCAGAAAATCACGTCGGCCCTTGCAATGATCGAACACCCGACCTCTAGGCTAGTGAGCCCGAGTCTTACCTACTTAGCCATTGTGCCTCGCATAAAACATGACTTTCATAGAGGTAGTAAAATAGAAATAACAGGGCAACATGCTTACCGGTCTACGTTATTTTTTAAGTCCATATTCACACATTTTTTTAAGAATACCAATGTGCAAACAGACATTAACATACAATGGAATTTCGCAAATTCTATACCGTGGTTTAAGTGTAGATGGCTATCAAATTTGATGCAGTGTAATTATTTACGCTGGTACCACCTCAGGAAATTGAAGCAGCGCAAGTCTTACATTTGGCCTTACTTTGATCACTGTCGCTGATCGTGAAATAGTTCTAAATCTTACTAATTTATAAAGGGTGACTGAAAAGAAGGATGAAAGGGGGTCACATGATTACTACTGTCAGAACTACATCTGACATACAGGCTTATAGATGCTGATAGAAATTTAGACATAATTTAGTGATTTGTATTGTTATGTACTTTTAATAACTCATAATATAGATCATACTTTAAAAATGTAGAAATAATTTGTATCGTTATCGAGATTTAGTAACTCATAAAATATTGATCATACTTTATTAATTCATAAGATTAAAAACACATAAGTTAAGTTCCAAATAAATGGTTTAATTTTCAACTCCAGTTTTAGAAATGGCAGGGGAATATCACGTGATTACAAACACATAATAGATTTATATCCACTACTATCAGTAATTGTATCATAAGATTACACACACATAATAGATTTATATCCACTACTATCGGTAATTGATTGGTAATTGTATCTGTATCAGCCGATATATTTCTCTGTCCATATCTGATATCAGTTCAGTTAAACTGATAGTAACCATATCAGACCATTAATATTGTGAATGATTTACTACAAACATCACAATTATATTGATTTTTCTCCAGTATGAATTCTCCTGTGAGTCTGTAGATGACTACTATTAGTAAATGATTTACTACAAACATCACATTTATAAGGTTTTTCTCTTGTTTTCCCTTGCTGACTAACATGTATTTCACAGTGTTTTTTTTAAATCTGTTTCTAAATTAAATTCATCATAACACAATTTACACTGATAAACAGTTTCAATATAATCAGTTTTCTCTTCTTTAACAGGACAATATTCATCTACATCAGCAGTTTTCTCTTCTTTAACATGACAATATTCATCTACATCAGCAGTTTTCTCTTCTTTAACATGTATCTTATTGTGTTTTTCTAAATCATCATATTGTTGAAAAATCTCATCACATACAACACACTGATGGAAAGTTGTAACATCATTAATTTCCTGTAATATATAAAAGTTATAACATCATTAGTTTCCTGTAATATATAAAAGTTATAACATCATTAGTTGCCTGTAATATATAAAAGTTATAACATCATTACTATCCTGTAATATCTAAAATTTAAATTAATTAGTTTCTTATAAGGCCGAGTTCGTAAATTCGTGCATTACCCTTTCAATGAAGTCCGCCAAGTTGGTTAGAAGACAGAGATATTTTTTAACAGCGTGTTGTGTCACTCATACTGGTTCTAGCGAAGTGAGCAAGGTCTTACTTTCTCACTTAGATTTTCATTTACTTTGTTCAGGCGTTCATAGGGACTGACACAAGACCATTTAGCAGTAAAAAGTTGCCCAGTAAAATTGAGTGGGTAACCATTAGATTTTTGACAAGGACAGTTCCTGAACGTACAGGGAGAGTGTAATGAAACCAACATTCAGAGCTGAACTAGTTACGAAACAGCCTGCACCCGTGTTGACCACATCACAATAGCGATGCTAAACGCCGCTAGGAGCGCTGGCTGTACTATTTACAGACATCACAAAAAGTTGACCGAGAAAAGTATACGCCGTGTTACGCCTTCTCGTGAATATTCAGAG